GATCCAGCCTTCTACCCGCTTGGAGAAATGAGATTTTGAGAACCCACTATCAAAAGGTAAGATTTTTGAGATCTGTAGTACTGAGTCTTCAGTGGAACCATAAAACTGATTGCCTGTGGTGAAGTGACTCAGGAAGTTGGTGGAATTCACACCTACATTGACTCTTGAGGCAATAGACAGAAAGTTGTGTCTTTTGAATGTTATAAGAAATACAGATGTTTCTATTATTAGTTATCTTCCTGGATTGACTTTTTTATGCCAGTTTGCCTGGTATTTACAAACAAATTGGAGTCAGGACAGTACGGCTTAGGCATTAATTTGTAAATACCAAACATTCCCTACTTGCATTGAGTATTCAAGGTTGTATTGTAATGTATGTTTTACATGAGAAAGTTGTCTGTCAGGTTTGCTTAGCTAAGTATGGATGCTTGATGCATGGGGAGTCCTAGGTTGTATTCCTATTTTGATCGGACCTTTAAAGTGGCAATCTTGTTTTGAATAGCTCAGGTTGCTTTGGTTCCAGGCAGTCTAGAGTAAATTAAACTGGGCAGAGTGAAGAAATGAGAGAAACAAAAGGGAGATTAAGTATCAAAGATTGGCTTCCAAGACTGTTAAATTAGTTCAACAACAAAATGTTCTGTAGTTAGCATCAGCTCCCCAGACTTTGTCGTGAACTGTCATGCAACAGATGGACTACACAGCACACAGTGAGCAGAGTAATCAAAAAGAAAAAAAGCAAATAGTACAGTTTTCCCTTTTAAAAATAACTCTTTCTGCATACTTTTCATAGCATCATCTACCTCCCTATTAGCAGTGCTGTCGTTTCTGTGAGAATGCTCGGTATTTTTAAACAAGAGAGATGTTTGTCTGCTTCTAGAGGAGAAAGCTGACAAATCACTACCCCATGTTTGGATTACAGGGGAAACTGCTATCTCAAAGTCTGAGAATCCTTGCTGCTAGGGTTAGCCCTCTCATGGGATGATTCCCAATAAAAAATTGAGCAATTTTTAAAACTAGATTTAAGTAATGATCAACCTAATAAGTAATGAATGCTGAATTAATTGCTTGCTAGATCAGTCACAGTTAATTAAAATTCCAGTGAAAGCTCAGAAAAACCGACAGCTACTCACTGAAACTGCAAGTGTGCCATGAAATGTGCAATGTTCTGTATTTCTGTGGAACACACATGGAAAGGAAATGGTTCATATGACTAAATTAGCTGGCACAAGTGCTATGCAGAAATGTCTCTGCTATTATTATAATCCATGCGAACTAGTGACTAACTCACCTTAAGGAGTGTAATAATGGAGACTATTCTGAAAAATTTCAATAGCCTCAAGACCTACGATTCCAGAGTTGAGAATGTTCAACAAATAAGTATGACTCAAGTCTAATTAATGTATACCCAAATATGTTTGAATAGATTCAACTCCAACGCAACCTTTTGTTACCTCCTGTATTTGCAGTTCAATTTAAGGTCTGCAGTTCTGAGTAAGGCCAGTAGCAACCATTCTGCAGTGAAGCGAGCAAAGTACAGTGTACAGTCCCAAATGGTCCACACATGTTCAGAGCAAAGGAGGATTTTTTTAATACTACTGAAATACCAATCAGAGTGCTTCAGCAAACACCAGTCAGCTGCAAAACATTCAGGGACAGCTCAGGAATTCCCATGAGCAGGAGTGAGGCAGGAAATAGTAAGAACCTGAATAAAGTAGCTGAGGGAAAATGCCTTTATTTAAGAGACTAGAATTAAAAAGGAGTTCAACAGATCCCAGTGCAAAAGATGTCAGAGAAAATAACTAGGAATCATCTGAAAAAGAGAGGAAAATCTGTGTACTGAGAATGTAAATGTTTAAATTCAAAACTCTTTTGCATCATCTGGAACTTTGTCTTCAAGACAGGAACTGGATAGTTACGATGATAAATGAGTTCAAAGGTAACCATACCTGTGCACTTACATAGTTAAGTATGGGGAAATGACATATAGTCATCACATTAAATCTGGGAGCTTCATCTTCCAAGTCTGTTTATACTGATGAGCCAAACTTTGTCTCAGTATGGCACACACTACTTATTTGCAAATAGAAGAAATTTGGCAACACGTAACAAACACAAGCTGAATGACTACTTTCATAGCCTCATATTCTGAGACAGAGACCAGAGAAAGCTAAAAGTTACAAGAAGTGGTCCTTCTTGAAATATGTTGGTGAAGCCCTGAGGTGGGGGAAGCCAGTATAGTAAGGCTGGAAGTGCTAAAAGGAAAGGTCCAGCCGTTATCGTGTCAGAGTGCTGAGGAACTACAGCAAATGGTTGTGCTGGTCTCCTTGTGATTTCCTTGGGATGCAAGGTGCTGGCAGTCATCTTTAAACATTATCCAGGGACAGCTCAGAACGCAAGCTCCCAGCATGCTGATCTGGCAGCCCCACAGCAAGTGTGAAGGGGTAAATTGTCAAAAACCATCCATGTTTTGGGGTGAATACTCAGCTTTTACCTAAAGAAGCAGGCAGGGTGGGTTGGATGGTGCCTTTTAAACAAGAGGGCTGGAAGCTGAAACCAGACCCTTCCACGGAGAAAGTTCTGAGGAAAGTGCAGTGAGAGCGGCAGGACCCCCCCTCCCCCTGCCTAGAGGAGAGACAAAGAACAGGCAAGGAGGGAACTGAAGTAGGAAGCAGGAACCATGTCAGGAGGCTCGGGACTAAAAAAAAAAGCAAATTAATAAACCACTTGGGAGAAAGGCACACAACTGACCAAAGCCACTAGGAAAGATAAGCAATTCCAGATTCTTTAAGGGCTCTGTGTGTGTGTGCATGCAGCCTGGCTAGTGTGTTTAAATATAATCATTTTCCTCTCTGTAACAAGCACAACCCTAGTGGCTGTGGCACCCAGACAGACTTGCAGAATGCAAGCACTGTGTTATCTATATAATGCGGTGCATTCGAGCTGGGTTTGTCAGCACTGCTACCACTCAAACAACCTCAAATTTCTAAAAATACATGTTTGTATCTGGGTGTGTGCATACATAACACAGTAATAAAAAGCTACTGGTAATATTCTGCCTGCAGTGTAGACAAACACTTCCTTCCAAAAGCAGGAGAAATCTGGCACAGGGGCTGAGGGCACTGCGTGGCCTTAAGCGTTAATGTAATACGGTATTTTGGGAGCTGGGAGCTTGGTGCGCTCATTTGCACATCAGTACCCAGAATGCTTGTTCAGTTCCACCACTATTTAACTCAAGAGCTGGGTTTCAGCTTTTGGAAGCCTCTGTAGTCTGTGATGCCCTCACGTGTGCAGAGTTCAGTATTTTCCACAGAACAGTTTAGGTGATATTAGATCGTGAATAGGTCATCCAAGGATTCTTAATAGGGCTTGATCTTACAAATGCAAAAAAGTGCCCTTGAACACTTTTACAAAGTGTTGTTTTTAACAAAACGCTGTTTTGGAAGTGTGTGTGTGTATTGGGACAGGGGGTGATATTTCTTCTAAAGTAGAGTTCTTCTGAGAGACAGAAGCAAATTTCAGCTGAAACGATGTTGAAATAGAAGCTATTCATAGAGAGACCCGGTGCGCACGAGGAACATTCAGCACCAGGACAGCCCAGGCAACCCCCGCCCGTCGATTACAGCGGTGCGGTTTGCAGCGCGCAGCCCAGGCCATGGGCAGGCGAACTCGGGGGAGCGGGAGGCAGCCCCGCATCGCGGGGTACCGGGGGCAAGCGCGATGTTCGGCGGGGCAGCAGCTTCCCCAACATGGAGGCAGCCGCCTGGGGTTGTGCGGTTGCCGGTGCCTCCCGCAGCCCCCAACCTGCGGGTACCATTCCCCAAACTGCTCCCGAAGGGAGGGCATTTTCGCACGGTGACAATTCCCGCTGTACCCCTGGCCTCCCCCACAATGCCGGCGCCTCGCTCTCTTAGAGAGGCTGAGAGTTGATCCTAGGAAGGGGGGAGGTGGGGGTGAGAAATGCAATGAAAGCCCGGGGGGAGGCCGCTCCGCTCCGCAGCCCCTGGCCCCTCTGGGATCGGCTCTTCTACAGGCGCCGCGAGGAGGTGGGGGCCGCTCTGCGCCTCTGCAGCTCCGGGAGGGTTTGCATTGGACGATTTGAGCCTGGGGAGGGGGGGAGGCTGCCTGCAGCCCCCCCCCGGCGGCCCCTCCTCCTCTCTCCGGCGGGAGGGGGGCCTGGGGGCGAGCTGCAGCCCGGATATTTGGGGGAGGGGGCGAGCGCAGCCCCGCCGCCCCCCTTGTGCCGCGGGCGGGGGCTTCGCTGCCGGCTCGGTATTGGAGGATCGGTGCTGGGGAAGGGGGAGACTGCAGCCCCCAGCCCCCGCGGGCGGGCGGGGTGGGGGCCGGCCTGCTGGCTCTGGCTGCTCTTGCATTGGCGGATGCGGGGAGGGAGGGGGGCAGGAAGCGGGGGGGCAGGGGGGAGCCCGAGTGGCTGGAGGGGGGGTCTTTATGAATAGGGTGGGGGTCTTCTCGGCCAAAGAAGAGAGGAAAGTTTGCGGCGCCGGTGGTGCGGGTGCAGCGAAGCGGGCGGGGCCCGGACCGGAGCCGGCGGCGGCGGCGCTTGGTGGGGGAGCAGGAGCCGGGGGGCCCCCGCTGGATTTTTGTAGGGGGGGTGGTATCGCCCCCTCCTTCTCCTCCCCCCAGGGGTGAAAGTGCAAGAGGAAGTGCAGCCGCTGCCATCTTTCCTCCGCTCCAAACACACAGGGACGGACGGAGCCGGCAGCCCGGAGCCGCAGCCGCCGGAGCTTCCCCCTCCCTCCCGGCTTCGCTGCAGCCGCGCCGCGCACGCCCCTTCCCGCGGCGGCCTCCGCGGCCGCAGCGCCTCGTGGCGGCCGAGCCCGGGCGGAGCTCGCGCGGCCGCGGCGGCCCCGCGCGGCGCGCGCGCCCCTCGGCCGCCGGAGCCTTTTGTCTCGCCCCCCCCTACCCCCCCCTCCCGCACTCCCCTCGCGCTGTGCAGGGAGCGCAGCGCGCGCCGCCGCCGTCGGCCCGGACAGGGGCGGGGAGGAGGAGGAGGAGGCGGCGCGCGCCGCCGGGCGGCCTGAGAGCGCGCGCCCCCTGCGGGCGCCAGCGGGGCGGCGCAGCCCCCATGGAGCGGGTGAGCGAGGCCGCCGCTTGCGGCCCCTCGTCGGGCTGCTACACGTACCAGGTGAGCCGGCACAGCGCCGACATGCTGCACAGCCTCAACCAGCAGCGCAAGAACGGCGGCCGCTTCTGCGACGTGCTCCTGCGAGTGGGCGACGAGAGCTTCCCGGCGCACCGGGCGGTGCTGGCCGCTTGCAGCGAGTACTTCGAGTCGGTGTTCAGCGCGCAGCTGGGCGACGGCGCAGGTGGCGGCGGCGCGGAGGGGGCCGCGACGGAGGCAGCGGCGGCCGGCGGTGCGGCGGCCGGCGGGACCCCCGGGGGCGGGCGGGAGCTGGAGATGCACACCATCAGCTCCAAGGTATTCGGAGACATCCTGGACTTCGCCTACACGTCGCGCATCGTGGTGCGGCTGGAGAGCTTCCCAGAGCTCATGACGGCCGCCAAGTTCCTGCTGATGCGCTCTGTGATTGACATCTGCCAGGAGGTCATCAAGCAGTCCAATGTGCAGCTCCTCGTGCCCCCTGCACGCCCCGACATCATGCTCTTCCGTCCGGGGGCTGCTGACCTCGGCTTCCCTCTTGACATGACCAACGGTGCCACTTTGGCACCCAATGGCAATGGCATTGCTGGCATGCCTGAAGACGAGGCCACGCGGGCTGCGCTCACTGCTGCGCAGTCTTCCCTACCTGTTCTCCAGGGCGTGGACCGCCTGCCCATGGTGGCAGGACCTCTGTCCCCACCGCTGCTGGCCTCACCTTTCCAGAACGTTGCTGCTAGTGCCCCTACTTTAAGCACCAAGAGGGGCAGAGGGCGACCCCGTAAAGCCAATCTCTTGGACTCCATGATGTTTGGTACCCCAGGGGGGCTGCGAGAGGCTGGTATTCTGCCTTGCGGTCTCTGCGGGAAAGTATTTACGGATGCTAATCGTCTTCGTCAGCATGAAGCTCAACATGGGGTGACAAGCTTACAGCTGGGCTACATAGACATCCCACCCCCAAGACTGGGTGAAAATGGTGTCCCTGGTCAGGATGACCCCGATGCTCCCCGAAAAAGAAGCAGGACAAGGAAACAGGTGGCATGTGAAATCTGTGGCAAGATTTTTCGGGATGTGTACCACCTGAATCGGCACAAGCTGTCTCACTCTGGCGAGAAGCCTTACTCGTGTCCAGTGTGTGGCTTACGGTTCAAGCGGAAAGACAGGATGTCCTATCATGTTCGATCTCACGATGGCTCTGTGGGAAAGCCCTATATCTGCCAGAGCTGTGGAAAAGGCTTTTCCAGGTAAGAGAGTACTTACAAGGACCATACACGTGAATGGAGACCTAGGAAGTTGTCTTCTTTATTCCTCGGGAAGCAAGAACAGTTTGTACTTAGGATAGTTTTGACTGTACCACTTTAAAACGTCTCAAGAAATGAGACTTCCCACATTTCCACTGGGAGGCTATTCCACAGTCTCTTGAAAGGGTTTAAAAGTAATTAAGACGTAGAACTGGGAGTCCGTGTGGCTTCTGGGTAACATTCCCAGCTTTGTCCCAGGCTTGGTGTATATGTGTCCTTGGGCAAATCAGTTAGTCTCTCCCTCGAATGACTCTTCTGTGAAATGGGTATTGAAGTAATTACCTCCCTCACATAAGTGTCTTGAGACTACTGATTTGTAGGTAGTTGGAAGGTGCTGTTGAAGTGCAAATATTAATACATCTCAAGATTATTATTTTTCTCGTATCCATTTTAAATTTTCTTTTTCTTAACTTCCCTTCATTTCTCTTAGTTCGTAATGTTTTTTATCACCCAAATGTGAAGGAAGAGGTGAGATTTCAAAGGCTGCAGCATCAAGTATCTTTTATTACATGATCTTTGTGTCCTTTGGGTTTACATCCTTCTGAAGGGGATCCTGTTTCTGCCCTGCAACATACGTAAGATCTGTGCATTTAATGTTGCTGATTTTTTTGTTGTCGCTGTTTGTGGGAGTTAATAAGTAGTTTGGTAACACGTAGTCGTGTTAGTGGTATCTTATAGTCTGAGTTAATGAATTTGAAACTTCTTTGGAAGTTTGTTGCTCGCTTGGAGAGTAGAAGCAGGGGGGGAGGGGGATGCGTATATTCTGTGTTGCTTTTGTAGCAGCCGCCGCTTTTCTGCTCTAACAGGAGGGAAGGAATCGGAATCCGAAAGCAATTCAGAAGGCTACTATGCGCTAAATGTAGAAATGATGCCCCTGCTAGCCCTCTTTTTGATAGCAGGACTTGCTGTTATTGAATTAAACTAAAACAGTGTAGACTCCTTTTGCGTTTTTAAAAGCAGGAATAATTAGGGGTGCATCTGCACAGGGACTGCAGATTTAGGGACGTGAAGTTCTAACATGAAAATTTCACCTGTGGCTAGTAGTGAGAGTTTTTCTTATCATAGTGCTACCGGGGATCATCTGCCAATTTTCACTGGTTTTATTAACACCGGAAGATTTCTGCCGTTGCTGTGTAAGAGGGTTTTGTCCACAGATGAAAGTGGAAGATACATGTTGAGTTCTCATTTTTCCCAGTGAGTTAATGTGAACAGGCAGGAATGCTGTCCAAAAAGGAAGCAACAAAAATGTCTATGTTTATAAAATCCAAGTATGAATGAAAAGAAGAGTCTCTTTTAAGTTTCAGTATTCAGCCAACGGCAGTTGGAAGCGGGATGTCTTATTTTAGTAGCCTTTCGCTCGCTCCATGGCGCAGCACGTGAGGTTGCTAGGATTCAGGTACCTACAAGGACCCCAACCAGTCTTTCCGGTTGCACGGCTCCAACCCGCTTGCTGGAGCATCAGGTTTAACAGCCTCCCTGCAAAGTTCAGCCTATCTTCTGTTCGCCGTGTGTGAATTCCATCCCGCGCCCTCCCATTGGTGCAGCTGGGAAGTTGGGGGAGGAGAGGGTGGAGAACTTGTTTCCAAGCAGTTTTGGCTTCGTACAATGAAAAGCTTTCTTCCCACTAGGAGAAACTCCCACCAGGAAAATCTGCAGCTATTCAGTCCTCTCGTCTTTAAAGTAGGCTTTACCGATTGTGAAGAATGGTCTGTCTTTTAATTTCAGTAATAATTTGCTCTTCCATTGCACCTTCTAGTTGGGACCTTCAGAGCACTTTATTTGTATTAATGAATCTCCCCACCAAGTTGTAAGTTAGAACAGTAGTTTTTCATCTTGCTGGTGGAAAATGTGTCACAGCAACAGTTTACTGTCAGCCTTTTTGCACAGTGGTGCTTAAAGTTGGCTTCGTACATCCATGGTTGTGACAGAAACCAAAAGGATCTGATTTTCAAATACTCAGCAACTGTAAATCAGAGTGCCCTGATTGTCAAGATCTAAATAGGATTTTGGAAGGGGACATGCAGGCTTGCAAATAGTAGCTTGTATTTCCTGTTTTCTCTGATCGTTCCGTCATCATTTCTCCCTGAGAAAATGCTGCCTTTTTAGCAAGTTGGCGAGGGTACTTGTCAAGGTAGAGTCCCAGTTGTTGGTCATCTGGTTCTTGGAAAGTTAAATATCACCACATTTGTAATACATTTGTAATAATCCACTGCTGGGATCTTATTTTTTCGTTAAAATTGTAAGTTTACTTTTAGTATGTGTTTTAAGTGTGCTTATGTGTATTTTTTTTTCAAGGCCAGACCACTTGAATGGACACATCAAACAGGTGCATACCTCAGAGAGACCTCACAAGTGTCAGGTAGGAGCTGAAGGGGTTTAGACTCATGTATGGGTAATCTTTGGCATTGCATTTATGCATGCAGACAGTTATGAAGTATCAGTAAAAATACCATGTATGTGTGAATTGGGATAAATATGGGTAAATAACTGTGTTCAACAGTGACAGCTGCTTTCCATCCCTCCCGTCCCCCAGCCCCTTGTGTCATCTACAGCTTTGGTCCTCCTGCCTCCCTCCCCTCCTGCCGGATGCTCTTCCCTGCTGCTTTATCCCAGTCTCACCCTGGATCTCTTACCCAGCCACCTTGTCCCTGGGCTTAGAGTCAGTGTCACTGCTGATGGCCTCCATGCCCCTTCCTCCTTTTTTTTGTTTATTGCAGTTGTTGCCAACAGGAGGCTCCAATGCTGAATTCATTTTGGGTTTTTTTTAGAATACTTCCAAATAAAATTGGTGAATATTGTAACTTGCCAAGATACTTCGATTTTTTAATTACATAGCCTTCAGAACATTGCACTGAGCAAAATTGGAAGCTTTTTGGTTTTATCCCAGGGAAAATCTATGTAATGGCATCACAGTATCCTTTGTAATACAATGTCATAATGTTGTATATAGTTTTTTCCAGTTACTAAATTATTCATTAGGATTTAAAAGATCAAATTAAGAAAGATATTTTGTAATACACTTGTAGAGAGATGTAAAAGGTGCCTGGAAGTAAGTATTAACTAAAACCAAAGCTCACAATCGGCTTCCACTGTCATTCACTGCCTTCACATAGTTGTCAGGCAAGCTTCTAAAACATTTGCTGGGTAACAGTCTCCCTGCTTGGTCCCTGAAGAAAGATTGATTTATTTATTTAAAGAAAGTTGGAGCAAGATAGTTTTCATTTTCTTTGAAGACAGTGAAGCTGAGAGGATTTTTTGTTTCCTGATATTTTTAACCACACTGTCTGAACCCAGTCAGTCAGTCCTACATGACTGCTGCCTCCTGAGCTGCGTGTTTTTTCACCATACCTGGACACACCTCTCCCACATTTCCTCCAAATTATGAAAGTTTTGAAATGTTTTGCAACTTTAATAATCCCATGAACATTTTTCTCAGGCATATAGAGCAATATGAAGGTTTTGGTTGACCTCTGTATGATCTGTGGAAGCCCAACACCTTCAGAAATCAGGCCATAAGGACTTCACATTGATTTAACTGCGTATCTTCTATAAAGCCTTAGACTGGTTTAAGCTTCTTAAAATGACTTAGGGGTTATAGATTTACATAAATTGGAAAACTTCACTCATAAAAAGGCTTCATCATTTGGGCATAGCAAGGGGTCTGGGTGGATGAACTGAAGATGAACATGTATTTGTGTGCAAGTGTGAATGTTTAGGTCCCAACATAAACAGAATCTCACCAGTCTCTTGCCAGTTGACATCAGTGTTACTGAATAAATACAGTTTATTAATGAATAGCATTAATAATACATGTCCTTTGCCAGCTGATGCCTGATAATTTTTTAATAGTTTTCTGACTAAGAATATTAAATATGAGCTCTATAAGTGTGAATCAGAGGATACACTAAGAGCTAGAACGTAAAGAAATACAGAAGCTAAGATTGTACAGCCAAGCTCTACTCTGTCTCCTGGCACACATAAATTTTATGATAGCAGTTTCTAACATTAGCCTTTCTCATTGTGTGTTGTCTAAAGGACCATAATTCTGCATGCGCTGGTCATTCAGTTCAAAGGTGCAGGCTGTAGGTTACCAGCATCAGGACAGAGTTGAGGTGCTCATTTAGGCTTGGTTTGGTTTTGATTTTTGGCTGCTTAACCATGCAAAATAATTTTTTCTTGAATCTTAAGGTGTAAAAAATCTGTTAAGGAGCTGTTGTGTGTCCTTGCAAAAACAATACTTCATAGTATCCTGTCAGATTTAGAAAGTCTTCATAAGCATGCACGGTACAAACTGCAGAAGGGATGCCATCACACTGAAAACTGGTTTCAAATCCAGAAGCTGATGTAAAAATTGGTAAAGTTCTCCTTGTGATCATCTCATAACCAGTAACGATTCTGTTTCATGACATGTATTTAAACACAGAATCTGGCCACTAAGAAGGAAAATAACTTCATACCGGAATGTTTCCCCATTTTCCAGTCTCTTTTTTTGTTTTTCTCATTAATTTTGTTTGGCAAATTAGCTCCCCTTGAGGGCAGCCTGAACAGCATTGAGCATCCTTTTTGAATCTGAGTTCCTGTTGAAAATGTTATTGTCATGCTTTGTTTATATTTACTGCAAAAGAGAAGTGCTCAGTAAACAGGAAAGCTTTCCAGAATCCTCTATGGCAGTGGCATTCCTGGAAGTTGTGCTCTAGTACGATTTAAACAAAATCCACTGGCGATTTACCTGAGCCCTCATTTACCTTTACAGACCAGTGGATACCTAATGTTCTGTTGATGTAGCATCATGGTACATTTTGGGCTACCAAAGCTAAAGTGTGAAGGTGTCTACCCAACTTCAGAATGAAACTATGAGAAGCAGGACAATTGTAAGCTGAACATCACCACAACAGCTCTAGTTTTTAGTGCTCAGCATGTAATCCTACACTCATCCCCCTAAAATAGCAGCTGTGCTTCACAGATCTTTGAAAAACTATCCAAAGCTGCAGCACCTGATGCCAGACAAAGACCTGATTCCAGCTTTTTCACGACTGATAAAATAGAATAGGGAAGGCCTCCAAAGAACCAAGGCAGCTGAGAAATCCAAGAAGTTGCTTTGGTGTCCAGACAAGATACCAAATGCATTTGGGATGTTTTCCCCTGGATTGTTGCACTGGTGATTTATTTAATTGTTCACTTATTTTTAAATTTTTATTTTTTGAATCTGACAGCAGAGTTCTGTATGTAGGAGAAGGGGTAAGTCAGTTTTCTGGCCATGATGGGGTAGCTCAGTTTGCTGACTCACTATGGGAAGGGGTGAAGCTGGGATGTTGGCTTTTGAGTGTGAATGGTATGAAAGTTAGGCTGCAGTTTGGGAGGAAACAGTGATCTCAAAATCTGTGGATGTGAAAGAACAAGGGGAGAAAAAAGAAGTTTGCCTCTTTGCAGGGACAAGAGACAGATTGTTGTTCTGGCAATTTAAAAAGAGAAAAATGCAGGTTAACTTAAAGTACAACTTTTGACAAAGAAAAAATTATTTATTTAAGTAACCCTAAAATTGGCATCCAAAGTCCAGTGCTTTTCCCATTGATTTCAATGCAGAATGAGTTTCTTCCTGTCCTAATTTCTCTTACTTCCTGCCTATTAGCAGGAAAATGGCAGCCACCATGGAATAAGCTCAGAGACATCCACATCCATAGAAAAGTTGAACCTTCAAGAGGTATTTCTTAAACAATGTTTTTTAAACTTTATATATATATATATATTCTTTTTTAATCTATTTATATACCTGTGCAATGTTTGATAGGAAAGCACTGGAGAGTTTTCTTCTATGATTAACAATTAATGATAAATTCTTAGCACTCATTTAGCACTTCACATCTTTTGTAAGATAAAACTTTTTTCTCTATACCTTTTATAAATATTAACTATTTGAATATTAACTTTGGGGTCTTCTTTAAACCTGGTCCTGTCTCCCATTGTTATGATTCAGCTAAACTAGTTCTTGCTTTCTCCACTGGACTTAATTTTTACTTTTTTTTAAGCTTCTTCACAGATATATTTATTACGTAGCTTATCCAAAGGTGAACTGTGCACAGCCCAGCAGCAAAGAGATCAAACAGAGAAATTATTATATTGCCTTTCCCTAAGCTTTCAAATTGATAAGCTCAGTATGGAACAGATCTCGTTTCACTTCTGGCATCTCTGTGATTTGTCTCTGGTCTGCTTCATCAACTAATGCATTCCCAATGCTTTTGTATGGACGCTTCCTGTGGCTCAGTATTTTTACACTTACTGATGATGGATCTCTTGGCTGTCATTTTTGATTGCCTAGTTACATATCTGTAGTTGATATCCAACAGACTGATTAGTATCAGTGCTGGAATCCTGCCTGAAATGAGTGTTTACCTCTGAGGACATTTTAGTAAGTGAAAGCTGCACCTGTTTTGCTCAGCGCTGTGTACTGAGATTTCAAATGAAGAGAAATCTTTCACGTTCCAGAATCTGCCTCTGCACTACTTGTAATTTATGAATCTTTGTCTGGTGAGCTTAGTTAAACTGTGTATATTGCAGAAATCCAGTTAATTTTACTGTTGTCTTTTTAAGTTCGTTAAGTCCTGATCCTCTGAGGTGCTAAGCCTTGTGCTTGCTGCAGAATAGTCGCAGCTCTATGGGAGTTTACCATACTTAGGCATCTCACAGGATCAAATGAGTGTAAAGCCTCCTGAAATTGATAGGTACTTTTCAGCTGTCTTCAGTGTTGTTTTTTTTTCAATCAGCTCTTGATAAATTTAATTATATAAAATTATGTGGGTTATGGTCTTCTGTATTATCAATTTCACTTATTTAAAGTTATAATTCTGGAATTTTACTAGGATTGTTACATTAAAGTCTATTGATAAACAGTTGTTTAATTACACACCGATACTTGAAAAGACAGAATATATTCAATTCCCAAGTCACTTAATAATATCATATTACCTCTGAAAGGGTTCTGCTTATAAAACTGTGATTTTTTTTTTTATATATATAAAAGTGATGTAAAAAAACCACTCCACACTCTTGAATGTTAACACTGTTGCCTGCTTACTCTGGTCATTCTGATGTATGTTTGCTTTTGTTTTTCCTCTCATACTTGTGAGCAATGGTTTCAGACTGTATCTTTAATAACTTGTACAGTGTATTGCTGGTGATTTATTTTCCTTCACATGTTAGAGACAGAGCAAGCCTTTCAGAGCTGGCAGGCTGTTGTAATGGGCTATATATGTAGTCTGCATGCCTGCCAATTGGTATGATCATAAAACTGGGAGGAAGCCTTCACTCATCTTACCATATGGATTACGCTTGGGAAGTGGGCAAGTAAAATCAATATTAGCTTAATGCCAAATCAAGTTTATTTCACAGTAGTGAGTGGAATATGATACCTTGATCAGGGGTAAGTTATAAACAGATTACAGGGCCATACAGTTATTTTGATACCTGCTCAGTTCCGAAGCTTCACTTCTACAATTTGTCTGTACTGCTATGGTGGATACCAGGATGACTCTTTTACTCTCTTTCATTGTATCCTCATCCCAGCCAGTTCTCTGATGCTTTGTTTGTACGTCTTCATACTCCAAAGGGATTCTATGTGCTGAAGTTAGATTGATCAAAGAAAAAAATTAGGAAACTGACAGAAAGGACATTTTGAGTGGTCCAAAGTGTTTGTAGTGGCCCAGTGAAATGGCAGAACTTACTGTAAATGGAATGGTTTCTGCTGTTTCTTTTGTTAATATTACTTAAAGTTTTTGTGTCTTCAGCCTCAGAGAGGAGCTAAGGTCTTACAATTCTTAAATTGATTCCTGTAGTATGTTAGAGCTGTTTTCTTGCTTTCTTAATCCTCGCAAGTAGAAACATTACATTTTGTGCAGTGTGCTGGTTATCTGAATTTTTTATTGTGGGAAAATGCCTTGTGCATCATGTCATTTGTGTGTATGCACAGGATTCTTAGATTTACTCTAAGGCATACTAAATATGTTCAACAATATCAGTGCTTTTAGCAGAGTTGATGAATCACATAGTTCTCATTATACTTGCAGACTTGTAATGCTTCCTTTGCCACTCGTGACCGACTGCGCTCACACCTAGCATGTCATGAAGACAAAGTTCCATGCCAGGTGTGTGGGAAGTACTTGAGAGCAGCATATATGGCAGATCATTTGAAGAAACATAGTGAAGGACCAAGCAATTTCTGCACTATCTGTAACCGAGGTAATGAAGAAACTACTGTTTTATTTCAGTGGGATGGGGCAGCACTTGAGGGAAGCTGTAAGGCTGCGTGAGTCTGTCTGCAACAGGAGGAGGTTATGCCATAGATGTGTACGTAGTCTCTGTTTTTTTCTGATTGAATAGTTAACCTTGAAACTGATGGAGCTATAGGTCTGGCCTCTGGCCTTTTTACATGGCTGATAGTTCCTGAAGAAATTCAGTTTAAATCTGAAGCAAATTGTTTCTAGACAGTTTTAAGAGTTTTATTTGCTAAACACAATAACCTGTACAATAACCATGATACGTTGCCTTGCTGCTATTCACCATACACCTTTTATTTCCTATACCTGGCTAGACCTGAGTCCTCACAATCAGTTAAGAAGAAGAATCTGTAAAATTCACACCAATACACATTAAGAATACATTGAAAATCTATATTATCTTATCAGTCTTGCTTACCCTCCTGGTGCAGCAGTAGCGTCAAGCTGCTTCTCCCTCTTAACCTAAGAAATTGCTTTGTATTAGTGTACGTTTCTAAACCAAATTTTATAAAGAGCACTAGATACGTGCTTTACTGTTGTTTGTACAAATACAGCTTTTCACAGAATCACAGAATGTCTGGAGTTGGAAGGGATCATAAATACCAAGTCCAACTCCCTGCTCGACTAAACCATATGACTAAGAGCTTTTGAAGCTTTTCTGTCTGTTTGTGGTACTCTTCAATTGGAAAGAGTTGTAAACTTAGGCTTTGTGGGCTTGTAAGGCAAGCTGGAAAAAGAATTTTGACTCACTATTGTCTTTTTTTTTTTTTAATGATTAATATACAACTTCAGAATCTATTGTTGGCTCACACAGGCGTACATACCTTGTAGGAAGGGGCTGCTGTGGTGTTTTGGGATCTTGTTTTTTCTAATGAGTCCTTTATTTATGATGTGTGTTCCCTTTTCTAATTAAGAGAGGTGAAATCTTTCGAGAGAATAAAGCTGTTTTCTATTTAATGTGAGAACTGTGCAGGGAGCTTTTTGGATGATTGGGAGTTAGTTGATGAGTAATGAGAGACATTTCCAGTAGTTAAACAGTCTCCTAGGTCCTGAGAGTGTTGTTAAGTTTGAGTGGCAAAGGCATCTTGGTTAAAAATCTTCAGATTCTGAAGGCTCCGGATTGATGGTATGAAATGAAGCTTGGTTTTCTTTCCAGCTAAAGACTTATCTTGTGAAAAACTGCTTAAGCTTATCCCAGTTCTTTTTGTGGTAACAACATGGAAAAGAGGCTTTCCAAGATCCAGGTGCTATCCTACTCTCCTTTAGTTGAACATGGTGCCAAACAGAAACTCAAACGGGTTGGGAGGAATTGCGTTGTTTCCAAGATTTGTGAGATTGAGTTTCAACTGAACTACCACTGGATGTCACTGCAGCTCCTTTGAAATTCAGCCAGCATGACAAAAGATAGCTCTGGCATTCGAACAATGAAAGGACTAAATGGTTTATTAACATTTTACAGGTTTAAATGTACAGTGGAGATATAAACAGAATGTACACTTCTGCGTAGAATGATAGGGGACCTGTTGTACAGCAAACTTGAAGCATCTAGTTTTTTCTTACAGTTTATGTGTCTTGTCAGAATCTAGTCTGCTGGGAATTTCAGTTTACAGCAGCACTCAGAAAATGTAATTCATCTACTGAATTATGGTTCAAATGTCTACTCAGTGTTAGAATTCATAGGAAAGGGAAGATACAGACTGGATTTGTCAGACAATTATGTTGTGAACTCATTGTTTTATGCTATGAAGTTTGATTATCGATTTATGATCCAAAACAGTACAATTTTTAATCCATAGTGTTCTAGAATCAAATGATAATGTTGATTGTTTTAAACAGGTACCTTTTAAATTGTAGAGCCTGGGAAGATGAAGGGTAGTGGAAAATTTCTGTATTAGAAGCATCTATCTGATAGGCATTTGTGCAATTAGAAGCTACTCAGTGTCCCACCCCACTGCAATTGTGCCATGACTGTGGTGCTTGTGCAGTGGCATTTTGTTTGATTCTTCCCCCAGCTAACATTATTTGGAACTTAGCTAGTTCTGGATATAGTATAGTCAAGCAAGATGTCAGGCTGCTTGTAGAGAGAATTTTGGATGTTGGCCAACAAAAAAACCCAAAAAAAAGTGGATGAGAAGGTGATTGTTACCCAGATGAACATATCCTGGTGTTAAAGACAGAGCTTAGAAGCCCACAGTATATCCCACCAGAAGACTGAAGGCTTTTCTTAATCAAGTGTCTCATGTTTTTTTAAAGGTTTTTAGTGGATTTAGGAGCTTGAAAGCTGAGTACGTGGCTGACAGCAGTAGCCACTGGTTTGTCATGTCATGCGTGACCCATTCACTGATTCCATTTATTAATTTCATTTACAAAATGGCAGTATAATGTCCAAAAATCACCATCATGATTTGATGCTTTTTCCAGGTTATCTTCTCACATGGGTTCTTTATGCTTATAATAATTATGAAAGCAATTAAGTCCTGTTAAATCAGGGAAGCTGGGCAATGTTGTTGGTTGGGTTTAGTTTTGGTTTTGTTTTGTTGGGGTTTTTTTCCCCTGGGATTTTCTGTTGGGTTTGTTGGGGTTTTCTTTCAAGAGCTCATCTAAGATGTGCTTACGAAAACTAATCTCCAATCCTCACTTTTTAAGGCAAATTCTCTTTAATCAGTTGAAATAAAAAAAAACCCTGCTCCTGCTTTGTTGTTACATAATCTTCTATAACCATTCTTAGGAACTGTATTTGCTTGTGTGGGCTTTTTCAAAGAACTTCAGAGATGAATGACTTTGGCAAGTCTAGAACTGATACTTCATAATCACCGGTGCAACTCTGAAGATTCCTTTTCTGTTTCAGACACACAAACATTGTTTGTTTCACAGAAATGAGTTAGGAGAAGGGTAAATATTCCAATCACAAGTTAGATGGAATTCTTGTTTACTGTAAGATGAATTCTTGTATCTTTCCAGGTGGATACAGAGTTGATATATTCTGCACATGTTCCAGCTAAATCCAAATTGGAAATTTTGAAAAAGAAGCATCCTGCAGTTATTTCTATAGTCTGTCTCCTTATAGATGTATCTAAGAGATCAAGGGATAGGTCACATTTATAGATTTCTTCGGTCTGTTTTTAATGTTGGTTCCTCTGCTATGAAGAAATAATCTGCTCTGCAAAGCTGAGAGATGTGTATGGATAAAACAATACATACAATCCTTCTTTGAAAATCACTGCCACTTGATTCTCTGCATTAGCCTGACTTTGTTTTTAAAGAGCTTTTTAAAAGTAAAGGATTATTATCTCTGAATTCCCCATCCTCCCAGGACAGACATTCATAATTAAAGTCTGGGGGAGGGGAAGACCAGTGCTAAGTGCTTCAGAAAAAAAAAAGGGGGGGATAAAAATGGAACAAAAAATCTCACTTTAAAGTTTCCTGTTGGCACTCTTACTGCTCTGATGGAAGTTGATGACTCGCATGTTCATCTGCCGAGTGCATAAAGGGGAGCAAACACACTTTGCAGGCAGTTTTCATTAGAGAAAACAATGTACTCTACAAATAGAGTTCTGAGTTCAGAAAAAATACCACATAGCAGAGATTACAACTTCACATTTTCTTGTGGCAGTTGTAGTATAGAAGAACACTGAATAGCTGTAGGTAGTCCTTTTTTAATGGTTGGCAGTAGGATTTTAATGCATTGCTATGTCAAGGCTCATCTCAGCATGCACGTGGTTATTAGATGTGTCTGAAATAAGGGAAGTACATTGTAGTTGGAAGCATCAGCATTATATCTATATTGTGTCCTTTTCTCTATACCAGTCAAACACTGGTTCTGTCCATCTCCACGGTGAAATTTTAGTATTTGGAAAAATACATTCTCTTGTGGGACAGGGAGATTTTCTGTACAGCATTTTGTGTCTGAGGGTAGGTCTTGCATTATCTCAGAGAATAATACCATTACATTGATTCCCTGGATGACATGTGGCCTAAGAGATTCTGCTGTATTGTGAGTCGTATGTTCTTGGTTTCTTCACTTGTGATGTATGTGCTATTCTGTGCATTTATCTTCAACTTGGAAGTGTACAGTAACTCTTGCTCATTCTCAGTAGTCTGCTCTTTGCCCTTCAGCAGGTTGCTGTGGAGTTCTGTCTTGCTCTGTAGGTCCTGCATAAATAGTTCTTAATTACCTCTGAATACTCTTTGATCCTGGCTTCTAAGAAAAGTCTGGGTAGAGGGATATTCTGTTGGGTTGGCATAGGGAATTCTAGTGTAAAGCCACATTCATTGTTAAGTTCAGCACCTAACAGCTGCTGTCAGAAAATCCACCACAGAGAGCTGTGCCAGTATTGGTTCTGCATTCTTCCTAAGATGTTCTTATATAGCATCAAACATAAATGCAGTTATATCAATAGAAAAGTGGCCTTACACTAGACTATCTATCTGTATTTAAAATGAAGCATTGGTACAAAGCTTCCCTTGCAAGGGCTTGTGCTGTAAATGCTGTATTGGTTTAAAAAAATCTAGGTCCTGGCTTTCTCTATGCAGAAAGGGACAGAGAAATCTGAAACTCTGTCTGTCATGGTGAAACTTGTGTTGTGTTCTAAGATGTTAAAGAAAAATGTTTCTAATGTGAAAATGCCATAATATTCTGTTCAAAACACAATGGAAAATTAAGAAGGCTGCTGATAGGTGTACCCTGTGTAGGAAGTCTTTGTGCCTCATATATGTACTCCAAATGCACGAGTACTAACTGCAAATCTTATAAAAATTGAATTTTAAACCATCCCAAAGTATATTTTGAGATAATTTGCATGAAAGGAAAAGGTTGTATTTGTGAGACTTCAGAAACAGTTTAGAAAAGCATATGCACAAATGTAAAACACTGTTTTGTTTAGAAATCAGTTGTTTGAAATCTGTGTTTTTAATTTCAGTGGTTTGGGCTCAGAGCAGAACTAATAGAAGTATTGACATTTCATTTGAGTTGTATTGGGCTTTTTTAACTGCAGACAAAATATGAGTTGTATTGAAATTCGGGATGAGCTGAAGGGTGAAATGTTTTCAAAAGTTGCTGTAGAACAAAACTGTATACCTTAAAACCTCAGCAGTTTTAGCTTTCTGGCTTCTAGGATTCACTATACACCTAAGGGGAAAGCACACTAAATGCCAAAGAGGGGCGCTACTAAGTGGCATCCCTTCAAATCTGAACAGCATAAAATAAACTAATTTGAACTATTTTCCAAAGTAGTATCAAATTATGAACATTATTTAACTAAAATAAAGCAGCACAAAAAATGGTAAAGGGACATGGGTGCCTTTTTTGTATCATGTCTCCTCTGCCTTTGTTTTTCCAGAGAGTTCCGTGTTATTTGCTAGGTTTGCTTACATTGGGTTTGTTTCTCAAGGAGGCTGTTCTTTCATCATGACTTCCAAACAGCAAATGAAGTCTAATTAAATGTATTAATTGCCTGATTATGTCTAGGAATCCTACTTGAGCATGTTGTAGGTAACCAGAAATCAAGTTAGTATAATGGCAACTTTGTAATAGGGAGTAGGAGCAAGACAAAGATTAAAAGAATGGGGAAGGCAGATGTGTGTCTTTGCTGGTGGCAGGATCTCATCTCCTTTTATCTTGTTTAGGTTTCTCCTCTGCCTCCTACTTAAAGGTCCATGTTAAAACCCACCACGGTGTTCCCCTTCCCCAGGTCTCCAGGCACCAGGAGTCCATCCCGAATGGGGGAGCAGCGTTCCACTGCGTCAGGACCTATGGCATCAAAGGCAAGAGACTCGCTGCTCTGCACCTTGCTGCTCTGTGCAGAACTTTGTGTGTGGGGTGCTGGGCTGGGTGTGAGAAAGGGGAGGGAGGAAAGACAGGGAAAACACTGGAGAGAAGCATAGGGAGATGCAGAGAAACTGCAGAGCATCGCATAGTATTTAATACCTGTCCTTGGACAGCTGATTTCACAAGTCTGGGGGAAGGAGATGCACGTGTAAAGGTACATGAATTTTTGGCAGCTTCTTTGATTTTTAGAGATTGAAAAAGGCACGTTAGTTCATCTTGACCATCTTCCTAGGAGCAGTCAGTATCTGAATGTTGCCTGGGTACAGATCCTTGATGGTTCCTTTGTACCATTCTGCCTGAGTCTTGTGCCAGTCAAACCACATAGCTGACTTCTGGTGAAGGAAGGGGGAGCTGCAAAATGCAGTTCATAAAGATTCTTGAGAGGTGGAAGCAGTATGCATTCTCAGCTTGATGAGGAGCCATGCAGCTACCTGTAGTTACACTTATTAATGCTGTTGAGGAGGACAGGTAGAAGGTGAATAGTACTGTTGCTTTTTTGTTTGTTTGTTTAACCTGGTTTTAGCTTCTATAAAAGGAAATATGGTAGAAATAGCTGAAGAGGAATTAACTTCTGAGTATGTGAAGCTGTGTTTATGTCAAATAGCTTGCTTTCTGCTTCTTGGGTTTGAGCTATCAGTATTCTTGGGGAAGCTGAAACATCAGAAAATTCTTCAAAACCATGGTTGTCCCGAAAAGTTAGGGTTTTTTTTTTGCCCAGGGTAGCACAGCAGGCTGGGTTAAACAAAGTCTGTGCCAGCAGAAAGCTAGCTGTGTGATTTTTCTTTCTGTTGAAGTCCTGATAGAGTTACTACAGAAGCCCTTTGGGTTTGGGTGGTATGCTGACTTAACAAGAGATTTACTCCAGCTCAGTGGTGTATTGATTTCATGCATATCCTGTTTGGTTTGTAATGCCGAATCCATAGCAAATCTGTCTTTTGGGTTGTGCCAAGTGGTTCTTTGGTCTTTTAGAGTTAATAGTATCTCCAGCTTATTTGTATTCAGAGACTTGTTGAGGAGTATGTCTGGGTTTCCCACGCTCATTCACATGCGCTGAGCAAAAAGCGTGGACAAACTTTCTTGGCATAATGTGAGAAGAGAATGGGGAGCACTCCAAACATACCAATGGCTTTGCCAGGATATGTATCCAAATGACTTAAAATAGTGTCTCTGACCTCCCTCCTGTTTCACACTACAGTATTTTAAGATGGAACCATTTTAGATTGTGAAGTTCACTTCTAACAGCATTGCATTTGGTTTGTAAAAATCAAAAAGTTCCTCAAGTCTAAATGGAATTCCATGCCTTAAATTGCAGTAACTCACTGCTGTTTTGCTGAGTGTTTCCAGGTTTCTTCACATCTTGCTGCAGCCTGTTCTTCATTAGGTTTCTAGGCTCTACCCCAAAGTATCAGCAATATTTCAGAAGTGTGGGAATGAACTGTAAAATTAAAAACTCATCAGTAGGTCCATCCTTTTGTAGTGCCTGAGGTGTAAATGTTGTGAGACATCTTTGGGATTCAAAAAAGTGTTACATAAACCAGAGACCCGTTATGGTCCCAATCAGTATCATGAAAAGTCCATACTAAAAACCTGGATGTTGCTCTGATAGCAGCTGTGGTTTGTAAAGAAGACCTGTGGTCAAGGGCTCTTGAATATGAGAGATTGCGATGTTATCATTCTGTCATGATTTGCATTAATGAAATCAGGTGGTAACCAATATGATCTATTTTAATGCATGTTAAATACTGGTTTTGGGAGATAAGATTCTGAAAACTTCTCTTTTCTTTTTCCCATAGAAGGCCAGAAATGTTCACATTCGGACCCGATTGAGAGTTCTGATTCATATGGAGACCTCTCTGACACCAGTGACCTCAAGACTCCTGAGAAACAGAGCACCAATGGGTCCTTCTCGTGTGACATGGCAGTCAGCAAAAACAAAATGGAGACAGAAGGAGAGAAGAAGTACCCTTGCCCTGAGTGTGGCAGCTTTTTCAGATCAAAGTCTTATCTGAACAAACACATACAGAAAGTTCACGTCAGGGCCCTCAGTGGCCCACTTGGGGACCTCGGTCCTGCTTTAGGATCCCCCTTTTCACCCCAACAGAACATGTCTCTCCTGGAGTCATTTGGGTTTCAGATCGTCCAGTCAGCATTTGCATCATCCCTAGTGGATCCAGAGGTCGACCAGCAACCAATGGGGCCAGAGGGGAAATGAGATCAGTTTGATCTTAAAGCAAAGCAGCAGTCTGGCTATAATGATAAGATGCTGTGAATGAAAGATGAAATAATGAAATTTGGTTCTGTAGCTGAGAATTTTTTATTCATATTAGCTTCCCCTTTTATCTCATGCCCTACCCCACCTTTAAACCTTCACTGGGGAGAGGAAGAAAATGCTTCTTAGCTGATAAAATACAGAAGATGGTGACCTTAAACGGAAGACATGACCTAAAACACCAAATGGAGCTTTAGAGGCTGCTGCTGGTTTTTAGTTGTGATCTTCTAGAATAAATGTTACCAGCACTGGTCTGAGACTTAGACAGTCCTAGTGACCGAGGCACCTGGGGAGCTACAGCTACAGGGAGCTATGATTTTGTTCTTTCTCTATTCCCCACCTTCCCTAACCTACCCCAGAAAAACAGTAAGTTTTAAAACCAGACCCATTATTGAATATAACAGTAAGTAAAATGCCCCATGGTACCTACCAGGGTACAATGCAGTTGTCCTTTGAAAAAACAGAAAATCTTAAAGAAGGTGCAAGAATTTGAACCCCTTCTACCATTTGTGAGGCTGTGAGTGCTGCAGCAGAACTGAACTGCTGAGAAAAACCACCATTTGGAACAGGTTGTTTTTGTTACTTTTGACCATTAAACTTGCTGTCAGTTTTTTAATTCTCTATTATTATTATTTTAGGACCTGTTGTAGTGAATTGCTACTGAAAAGCCAGTCTAAGGCGAGACACAGAGCACTCTTAAAGCAGCAGTCACATTAGGGTTAGTATTAATTTTTTTTTTTAGATGTACCATAATGAATAACTTGGCTAGTTGGTTGTTTTAAGTCTATGAAAGAAATAGTTTTATGAAAAAAAAAAAAAGATAAAAAAAGAAAAGGAAGGAAAAATACCATTGCAGTCTGGTTGACTGGTGCTCATTTTTCATGTGGGGACCTAGGGTATAAACACGATGAGCTATCGGGTTAACACTATGTACCACTGACTTGTTTAGTGTGAATAAACCCAGGGGTTCACAGAGTGATTTTGGTTTAATTGGATTGGACTCTATTAAAGAAGTTAGTATGTTACTTTGCATCCCCTCGTTTTGTCTGGTTTTTGAGCAGTTTAGCCACCTGTCCAAAAGGTGTGCAAATGAGAGCCAGTAATGCTCTCCTGATCTGCCTCTAGTCAGGTTTGCAAAAGCCAGTCTTAATCCTTTCTTTTCCAAATAAGAAAGGTTTTTATAGGAAGAGATGGGAATTGCAAACAGCAGATCTCTCAAAAAGAACTGATTACAAAATGCAAAGAAGCTGGGCTCTAGGCTGTTAGAGGTTCCATTTAATCTGAAGATACCATTTGTGCAGAGATAATGTCCTTTCTTGTCTCTCCCTTTCCTCCCATGTAACTTGTCAAGGTTTTATGTACCAAATCCAGGTATAAATGTTGTTTAACACAGGGTTAGGAGTTAGGAATACTCTGAGTTATAATTATGGTTCTGCTGTTGATGCTCAAGGTCACATAGGAAAGCTCCCTGAATTTATTACTTAATTTCCCATCTGTGAAGAGTTTTCTCCACATCACAGTTGTGAGGGTTAATAAGCAAAGGTTTAAGCAGTGATTTGGTCTAGAAAGGCCACTCTGAAAAGCCCAAGTCCCACACCAACCATGCATTCTATGAAGCAATAGCTTTCTCCATCACTAATACAGTGCTGGAGCAGGGTAAGACCACCTCAGACCCGGACCTACATCCTCTGCAGGAAACATGTATATATTAAATGTGAGCATAGCCACAAACTGCATTGCCCAGGTGCTCCTAATCCAAACCCTGCAGTTAATGCATAACTGAAATAAGATACATTCCTGATTTTTTTAATGTTGGAATTATACAGCTTTTTGTATAAGTGTATGGATTTTGAAATGATGTTCTAAATTCTACAGACTTAAGAAGCCCTAGCTTCTCTTTTCTAAGAAGATACAGTTTTTGTACTTGCTCTCAAGTGTTACAAACCAAGGATTAATAATCAATGGCTTTCTCTATAGCACCAGCACTTTCTAAATTGAGAGCATGTTTCAGTGGACTTGAGGTTTTGCTATTAATCTGTGTTGGGAGACAGAAGGACATGTTCCTCTCCATTTATCTTCTCCCAGAATCCCTGCAAAATAGGTATGAGTTTCATTTCAAGGGAAACCAAACCAAACCAACCCACCTTAAAACTAAAGCTTCATGGAATTGCTATTGCTGTACTGGTAAGCTTAGGTGACAAGTAGAAAATGGAATTTCGGAAAGGTAACAGAACATTTTCATATACCTTAATAATGCAGATGATACTGAGACAACCTCGTGAACTGCCACGCAAGTGGAGATAGAGCAGGCTTTCCAGTCAGCAGAACAATTTATTGGGATTAGCAAATGCAACTGCAGTCACTCGTATTTACTAATAGCTCGTGTTTAAGCCACCAGCAAATTTCTGTTGAATTGAGGTTGTATTCTGAAATATTTAAGGAGTTTGTGTTCCTGCGTGTACTCAAAGAGGGTGCAGTAGCCATACCATGCAACTCCAAAAGCCAAGTCCAGAATATAGGGTATTTTCATCCTACATACAGCTCCACTGACTTCAGTGTTACTAGTGGGTTGAATTTAGCCATGTGTATCAGAATGTAATTTTGAATACTAGAGAATTTGACCTGATGAAACAAATGAAAAGCCTTGAACTAAATAGGAAGCCTTGTAAAACACTAACTGTGCATTTTGCTTGTCAAAGAAAATGCTTACTAAGTTGTCATGAATCCATCGGTTGAAAGCTACTTACTTCTCAGTCTAGTGGACAGGGAAACAATTGGGCAGGAAGGGAACAGTCCTGAAATGACAGTTCTAGATCATCCTAGTGTAAACAGGAGGGATTTGCACCAACACAAGAGACTGATGCAGAGAAGTGCCAGCAGTAGTTTGGGCAGATCTTTAGCAGTAGTGTGTTTTCAGAGCTTTTTTGCTTCTTTGGGAGCATATTGTTGCATTCTGGTTAGTAATTTAATGTACGTGTGCATTCTTTATATTGTGTGCTTTGGGAAATGCCTGCTTCTCAGAGAACAGAAAACAGATCCAAACAGAAACTCATCTTCAGAAGTTCAGAGTTCAAATGGAAGTAATTAACATACCCTGAGCTGTAACCTCACTTGTTTTTAATTATTACATTTTTAATTGGATTATCAATGTATAGATGATAGTTCTCCTTTTGGGCCAGCCCTCCTTTCCTTACCATCATCTTTTGGTGGGACTGCAGTCCAGTGTTGGAGTCAGTGCACTTTTCTGCCAAGAGAAGTTCAGTTCATACAAATTTAGATAATCAGAGTTGTAGTATTTCTTTGTATTATAGGACTCCCTAAACCCCTCAACTGAGGATTAGACCCTTGTGTATTAGGTATGATGAAACATCTTCAACCATTTATAATCTAAACATTAAAGGTAGACAAGAAAAGAGTAGATGCTTGTAGGTGAATGAGTGAAATAAAACTGAAGGACTACAAACTGCTTGCATGCATGCTTAAGTGTTGTGTTGAATGTAGGGACACAGACTTATCATTAGGCTTCTTTTGTTGCCTGATTTTATCTTTATGTACTGTTAATCAACAACAAATGCAAGGTAAAGTGATTTAATGTGAATTTATTCCATACTGAGTTAAATTTCCTTGCATTTGTCATGTGTTAAATGTGTGCAAACAGACTTCTTAGTGTGGCTCACCTGATGCATGGTAATGTGGTGCGTGTGAGCTCTCAATGTGAAGTGATTTGCCCATGATGACGTGGGAAATTGATAGCAGAACCAGAAATTGAACACAGATTTTTCCTTCTCTCAATCCAGTGCCTTAACTATAGTAGGGCAAAGTATTATATGTTGGGGGGTGTGTGTGATTAATTTGTTTGGGTTTTAAAGCCTAGAAGTCTAAGATGGTGTGGACTTGGTCTTCCTACCAATCTTTTGAAGAATTGCAAATGCCCAGTCACAATTTTAGACCTGTTCGAGTGCCAGTGACTTAGGGAATATTTGTTATTTCCCATGTATTCCCTGAAATTATTGTTCCTCCCTCAACTGCTGTCAGCAGTAAGGAATGACTTGAATAGAAGAGCTGTGTAATTGAATGTCTATCTAACTCAACTAACTGAATCGATAGTATGAAAGCTAACCTAGATTTTGTAGGCTCTGTTGTAACTTTAGTGTCTTGTTTTTTCACTAAATCTTTGTTCCTAGAAACCAATATCTGAACTTATGTCTTGAGTCTGGAGTGGGGTACCACTTTCAGCTTTAATTTTTTTTAAGGTGCTTGCTTGAGGAAGTAGATGCCAAAGTAAACTTCAGAGGAATTCCAGACTTCAGTGTTGGAAGAATGAACGGAGAGCTAGAGCTCTCTTTGGGTTTCATGAGAGATAAATGGACAAAGTAAAAAAAAACAGCTACCAAAATTTTCAGTAATGAAATGGGAAAGGCTTTTCTTTATCACCCCCAAAATAACCAAATACTTTCAATTGTTCAGCATGGCAGAAACTCTGAGAGCAAGTGCCAAACAAAACCATGGAACGTGTTGGCTTTTTCAGCATTATGAACATAACAGCATTATGAGTATTTTAATGTATATTAAGCCAGCTTTGTACCGTTAACCTTTTGCCTGGGTACAGTATCTGAGTTTTAATTGAACAGAACATAAGCTCACAGTGAATCTCTGAGCTTATGCTCTCAGTCCAACCCTCAGAGACAAAACAAATGAGCAAAGAGGGGAAAAAAATCCCAATAGGAAAATTTAAAAGGGAAAACAGTTTCTGGAAGATTCCCATGTCTCCTGAGAGAGTCCCATTTTTTTATCCTGAACATCCTTTTCAAAACAAGATCCTTCAGCTGTTGTGAATGAGCCTTTGGGAACAGACTTGGCTTTTAGCCCAAACTGCTGCTCCTTGTCCCTGTCAGAAGGCAGCGTGTTCTGGAGCACTGGGCCTGGGACCCGGAGGGAGGCAGTGCTCCCTGACACATCTGCAGTGGCAGTCAGCAGCAAAAACATTGGCATAATGTCTTTCTGCCTGCTTCCTTGCCACCTTCACCCTCAGATGTGTACACTACTCAGATGTGTACAGCTCTGCAAATACCTGTGTTAGCTGTAAAACAAAGCAGAGAACTTTGCCTAAAAAAAGATAAAAAAGGGGGAAAAACCCCCAAACCACCAACCTTAAAAACAGTTAAATGACGTAACTGCAAAGTGGTGCAGAACAAGAGGAGGAACCCTGGCTGTAAAGGGTTGTGGTGATAGCTGGAATGTTTAAAGCATGTTAATGAAAAACCACAGTTGTTTGCTCTATGGTAGCAGTAACACAGCCTGTTTGTACAGAATTAACACCTTGTGTCATCTCTAGCCTCTTCCTGTGTTTTGTTCCCATCTATAAAATGAGATGATGATAACCCTTGGGTAAGACTGTTTCAAGACTTGGTTGATGTGCCAAACTGTGCTGCACAGTTGTGCTGTGAGCTCTTCTGCAAGCGTTTGGCCTCGCTGACTTCAAGTGTAATGCAAAGTTGAACAAACATTTGGCCACATTTTTCCTGAAAAGTGAGATACTTAATTTAAAGACTGCCTGGCACTGTTGATCTGCTCTCAGGGTTTATGTGAACAAAGCTTTTCCTAGGTGGCCTCTCTAATTGTACTGCAACTTGGAGACCTGGAGGTGCTCTGAACTGAGCTGTACTGAAGGAAGGAGGTAACCGGTGTCTCACTGATGTTCCGGTGACCCCCTCCCAGCTCCTGGGTTCCATGTGGACCATGGGGCACTTCATACAGCCACTGGCAGCCATAAATGCTCTTGAGCTTCCTGTAGTCACATAGTGAGCTTGGGTAAGTGTTTTTATAATCAGTCTCATGCTTGCTAATAGCTTTTTGGCTGCTGTGTCTACAAACTGGTGCCTTCTCCAGGCAATTTTTACATGCCCTCTGCAAAGTTGTCAGACTGACTGCTGGCTCTTGAAAGAATCAACCTAAGCCTTGCTCTTGGGCTCAGAATTTCTCTTCAGTACTGTTGTCATCTGAAAGTTTGCTACAATTAGTGCAAATACACA